CCCTCTGCCTGGAAAATGGCGTGCCCAGCGCCCCACACAGGCCACTGCTTTGCTTTCCATGGAACACAGATGACAGAGCCTCCACAGAAAATCCAAAGGCCCAACTCACCAACGGTGAGCTGAGGGCTTTCATGAAGCCTCCCCTGAGAGCAAGTGGCACAGTCGAGGCCTAGGGTCCCCGTAACCCTGCTGACTGTAATTGTACGGCACAGCTTGTTGCCACCTTCGCCCTGAGGCCCAGAGAGCCCCCAGTTTATATAGCACAAGTCCGGAAAGAAACCTCACACTCCAATGCCAGTCACCTTGTATACGGATTTTCTTCTGTTATCACAAGACCATGTGAGGCCATTCATACATGAGGAAAACTGAGGCTCAGAGAAGCTCAACTCTGGGCAGGGGTCCAAGCCCGACTCTCTGTGGCCCCCAAACCCAGTGGCTCTTCGTTGTATCACTCGCCCTCCCTGGTCTGTCCACCGAGGGGCTGGTCTGGGTCATGTCCTGGGCTCGAGAGAAGCCACGGCTCGGGACCCAGGCCACGAGTCCCCACTGGGACTACAGAGGGGAGGAGGCCAAGCCCCAGGGCCAGTCGGGGAGGCAGGAGGACCTGCCTGTGTTCCAAATTCAGGGTCATTTTTGTTGTTAATCCTCACCCCAGGGTATTTTTTCCCATTGATTTTTTTTCCCAGGGGAGAGTGCGAATGCAGTCCCCCACTACCACAAATCACGCCGTCGAGTTTCCCAAACTTGGGGAAGTCGCAGGGGTCAGCACATCTGGGTGCCATGGGTAAGCCTCACCCTGGGAAACCACCTTCCTGACCATGGCACCTCCAGGTAAGTACCCCATTGATGTTTAAAGAGTGGAAGGGTGGGGGGAGGAGAGAAAGAAAAACATCATGTGTGAGAGACACACACATCTTCCTCTTCAGGATATCACACAGCCCTGGGGGCCTAACTACACTGATATTCTGCCCACCCCTAACTGGCTGGGGCAGGGGCGGCGGCG